TTTATAGCAACTTATATCTGTAAATAAGATAACGTATGAAGCACTTTTTCATTATCCTTGTTACATTTGATACGTTGTTTGCTACATTGTTACGTTATCCTTTCATTATCCTTGTTACATGTTACTTCTCCCAAAGAATATATGTTTCTTGAGGGCAGTAACTGATTCACTTTCATGTTCATCTAGCCAATGCCTGATGCAGAATCAGGCACATAACTGATGCTCCATAAATGCCTATCAGATGAATGAATGAATAAATGAAAGACTGAATGACTAACTGACTGACTGACTGACTGAATGAATGAATGAACAAATGAATGAATGCAAAGAAGATAAGTTCTTTGAAGGCAGGGACCATTTCCCTTTTATCTTTGTACCTTGGCATAGGGCCTGGCACAGTGTAATAAATGCCTGTTAATTTTACCTGGCACTTTGTTATGAACCTCTCCACAGGGAGAAAGAGGAAAAGAAGGGGATAAGCACTTACATAGCACTGACTAGGTGCCAAGCACTGTTCTAAGCCTTTTTTTTTTTTTACAAATATCTCATTTGATCCTCTTAACCATCCTGAGAAGAAGGTGCTATCATTATCCCCATTCTGCAGATCAACGAATATGTTCTCTTCTCTCTCTTTTCTCTCTAGAATGGGCCCTCAATATTATTCATTTGGACTATTGAAATAGATTCCTAACAAGCTTTCCTACTTTGACTATCTTTCCTTTCCAATACATGCCTGAAATGACTGTAAAATTGTGTGTGCCTATGTGTGTGCACATGTGCATGCACACATAGATCATGTGATGGATGTGCTCTCTACTGCCTATGAATTTCCATTCAAATTCCTTTGCCTACCGTTCAAGGCCATCTACAATCTGGGGCCCCCCTCCTTTTCCAGCCTTCTTTTGAGATGCTTCTCTCCCTATGTTCTATGTTTCAGTCAAACTGGATGAGAACTCTCTGGCCCCATTAAATTGTAAGCTCCTTCTGGTCAGGGACTGTCTTTTGCCTCTTTTTGTATCCTCCATTGATTACCTCCAATTTCTCCTGTCATATCTTATTTGCACAGTTATTTTCATATTGCCTCCCCCATTAGACTGTGAGCTCCTTGAGATTAGGGCTATTTTTGCCTTGTTTTGTATCCCAACTGCTTAGCACAGTGCCTGGCACATAGTAGTTGCTTTATAAATACTTATTAATTGATTGATCGCCCCCTCCCACCTCCATGCTGTATCATGCAGTTTCTTATTATAGGAATATACTCTCTCCCCCTCTCTTACTGGTGAATTAATGCCCATCCTTAAGAGTTCAACTCGAATGCCGCTTCTCCAGCAAGTTTTCCTTGACTCCTCTCCCCAAAGGTCCAAGATCTCCCTGACTCTAGTGTCTTCCCTTTCTGTTCCAATTCTCCCCAATGCCATCAAATTGATATTCCCAGAACCCTCATGAGCTCTGCATTCCAGCCAGGCTGGTTTCCTTGCTGAGCCTGTGTGTGACATTCCAACCCCCAGGCTTTTGCATAGGCCATTCCTCCTGCCAGGAATGTGCCTCATTTCCATCTTTGGGAATCCATGGTTTTCTCAAGCCTTTGCTCAGTGCTGCCTCCTACAGGAAATCTATCTTGTTCAACCAGGTGCTAATATCTGCTGTTGTTTAGTCATTTCAGTCATGTCCTACTCTACATGAATCCATTTGGCATTTTCTTGGCAAAGATACTGAAGTGATATGACACTTACTAGCTGTGTGACCCTGGGCAAGTCATTTAATCTTGATTGCCTCTCCAAAAAGAAAAAAAAAGATACTGAAGTGATTTGTCATTTCCTTCTCCAGCTCATTTGATGGATGAGGGAAGAGAGGCAAATAGAGTTAAATGACTTACCCAGGGTTGCACAGCTAATAAGTGGCTGAGTCCAGATTTGAACTAAGGAAGATGAGTCTTCCTGACTTCAGGCCTGCCACGCTGTCCACTCTGCTACCTAGCTGCCCTTGATATCCCCCCCATACCCAAAAATACCCCATAAGGTGGTTTTTTAAAAATCCCTCTCCCACCCCAAAAAAGCCCCCTCCATGTTATAGAGGCTACATTTTTAGAGGTTATATTTATAGAAGTCATATTTTTTCATTTAATTCTCCTTGAGATGCAGTGTTACCTAGTGGGTAGAGAGCTGAGAGTCATCCTTGGAGTAAGGAATGCTTGGGTTTAAATCTCATCCCTGATAAGTGCAGACAATTATCCCAGGCAACCTTTTGAAACAGGGAACTACACGGAAAGTATGAATTTGCTTTGATAGAAGAACTTCTGTCCTCATGAGGGCAGATGACACATGAAGGGGAAGGGTGGCCAGGGAAGGGAGTTTTGTTGTGAGGAAGTCCCAGGCTTGATGACTGAATGATGGAATGAGTAAATGAAAGGAGTGAGAAGGCATTTATTGAGTGCTAAGTACTAAACTTTAGCTATACATACAAAAAGCTAGTTCTCTCTTGCCCTCAAGGAATGTGGGAAGCTGGTGAGCAGAGAGGGGGTTTGGGGGCTACATAGCATTCATTTGATTAATATTCATGAGGGAAGATGTAAAAGGGAAGGAGAGCAAGGATGTTTCCACATCAGGGGCAGGACAGATGTCAAGATGTCCAGCATGGATGAATGTGAAGCATAGTCTGGGCTGAGGCCAGCTAAATTTAATGGGTTAGTTAAGTTTATACTCACTCATTCCCCAATCAGGACAGCTCAGCCCATGACGGAATTGGAAAACCAAGTGGCTTAACTCTTCCCAGGAAGCGATGGCAGTGGTGGTGAAGGGGTGAGATATGGTCACTGAAGGTCTAGTCTAGAGGATGCTGTCCCAGATGTTGGGGGGGAGGGCAGGCAGCAGGGTCAATGGCAAGACACCCAGGCTGGCTGGAAGCAAGGAATAGACCCTGAAGGCTGTCCATAAAGAATTATCCCCTGGGGGTGGAGAGAAGGATGGGAATGAAAGGAAATGAAGAGGTAGGAAAAGGTAGAAGAAGCCAAGAGCCTATGCCTCCATTCATCCAGTTTACCTGCCCTCTTGCTATGGTGTTTGCCTGTATTCTGTGTGAGTCACATCCCTGCATGTGATTTGCCATTCAGTCTATGCTGTGGAAGAAATGAGTCATCTGGCTAGAAGGAATTTGGAGCTAAGGAGGGGAATGCAACCTTTGGAAATGAGTGAGGCATTTGAGCTCATCCGTTCACTAGGTTGTGGTAAACACTTTCTTTCTTTTACTGGCATGGAAGTTTTATAAATGCAGGAAGAAACTGGAGCTGGCTCCTTAAGCAAGTCATTCACCTTTTACTTGGAAGGTTTTTCAGCCAAACTGAAAGCAGACAGCAGAAAGTCGGCTAGGCTTCATTCCTTTGGTACAAACTAGCTTCCTTTCAGCATTCTCTGTCTTTGGTTCTTTCCTTCCTTTCCCAAACCACTCACAGGTATTTCCTGATCTCATTTTCTACTCTTCATTTCATTAGTAAAGGTGGTGGCTTGGACAAGTCATTCCACTAAAAGTTCACTCCTCAACCTTTACAGAGAATAAGGTTAAGGACTGGGTGTGAGTTCACTGGTATAAGGACTCTCAGATTAGGAAATCTCTACCACCAATGCAGATTTGCACCTTCTCTGAAACTTATATAGTCTTAGGGAGTTACCCTGGGATATCCCTGTTGCCTTATTCCCCTGGAGAAGGAAATGGTAAACTACTCCAGTATGTTTGTCAAAGAAAGCCCATGTGTCTGTGGATAGTATTAGTGCGCTATGGCCCACAGTGTCACAAAGAGTTGGACACAACTAAACAAGAAGTTGTTAAGTGATTCATCCAAGATCACACAGTCAGAATGTATCAGAGCCTGGGCACAAACCCAGGCCTTCCTGGCTCCAAGGTCAGCCTTTTGTCCACTAAGTCAGCCACCAAGCCCTCCACGAAGCTGCTCTTTACACAAAGAGTAGGAGCATGAAGTCTCAAGAAGCTCTTTACTGCTTTCAGATTCGGTTCAAAGAAATTCAGTTGAATAGACATCTATTAAATTGATAATACATTTCAGATACTGTGCTAAGTTTAGGGGAGAAGTTAGGGTGTGGGTGGGCCCACATGGACATGTGATTTCATTGACACAGGGAACTTCCGGGTGAAGCATTTCCCTCTATTAATGTAAATCAGCATCTACTCTGCACCTTATAGTCTCAGAAAGTCGCCTAGAACAAATGAGAATTTTAGTGACTTGCCCAGGTTTATGAGCCAATATCAGAGGCAGAATTTAATGAAACTCAAACCTGAGGCCTACTCTCTATCCACTATAACACACTGCCTCTAGGTGTTCTGCGATAGTAAAAGAAAAATGAAAACTGTTTCTGCCCTACCCCAACCTCGAGTTTACATTCCGCTGATGAGATACACCTGTACACAGATAAGTTAGCGTAAGGTAATACCATGTAATTTCAAGTGGGAAGGTACGCTATCCACTCTTCAGAGGAGATGAGAGTATTGCATGGCACAGAGATAAGAAAAAAGCCTTATATGAGAGGTGGCGACAATCTGTCCACATTCATTGCCCTGATACCCAATTACAGCATATTATCATAACAGCCGAAATGATTGAAGCCGATTTCTCTGATATGAGCAGCAGGACACAATAAGGCTAATAAAAATAATGATATACAATTGTGTGATAGCAATAATGAGCATATCTTAGAGCAGTTTTAAGGTTTATAAGGGTTTAATATTTAGAACCACACTGGAAGGGACAGAGAGAAAATCTTATCCCCATTTTATAGACTCCTTAATCTCCTTCACAGCTCAGCTCAAGACCGGGTCCTCCCTGAGACCTTTCCAAATCTCATCTCTCTCTAATTGCTAAGATCCCTCCTACCCCCAGAAATTACCTAGTGTTTATTTCATATGTAATTATTTATGTGCATGTGATCTCCCTGGATAGAACATAAACTCTTTGAGGACAGAGACTGGTTTTTTGTTTGTCTGTTTTATTTTCCTTTTTACACACTCAGAGCCTAGCAGGAGTAGCTGTTTAATACGTGCTTCTTGACTTATTAATGATTGATAAGTGGGTGAAGTCACATGGCTAGGAAATGTTCTGTGTGGGATTGAAACGCAGGTCTGCTGAATCTGGCTCCTCTTTTTATGAGATGAGCCAGTGTGGAAGTACGGAGACCTGTGTCCCAGACCAAGCTCTTCTGCTCATTCCTTATGGGACTGTGGGTAAGCTGCTTCCTCTTCCTGAGTCTCCATTTCCTCATCTGTCCACTCTGGGCTCAATGGGCTCTTGCAGCTGAGAATCCCAGAATTCCTAAGTTGGAAAAGGCTTCAGAGGTTTAGTTCAGCCCATACCACACCAAAACAGGGTTCCCCTGGACCACATCGCGGCGAATGGTTGCCTGATGCTAAATATGGCTTGTCATAGGAAACACCCCATGTGCGATCTCCATCAGTCCTGGCCGGGGCTGCTGGCTAAAAGCAGCTTCTCTTCTGCTGACAAAGTGAGGGGGACTGTGCTTTCTGGAGAAGGTCAGAAACCCACTTTCTGGTGCCGCAGATACCAAGTCAGCAGCTAGCTGATAGGGCATGTGGGCCTATGGGACAGCAGATCATTGATGCCAACTTGTTTTAATGCCAAACTATACAAGGAATTAATTAATGCCCTATGATTCCTGACCTGCTGTGGCTTGCTGCTGAAATATAAGAGGGTGTGTCATTGAGATGCCTGCATAAAGAGCGAATGAGGTTGAGAAGATTGCACATGGTGTGCCAAAGGACCTGTTTCTATTTTCGTCCCTCCTTGCCCCTGACTCACTGTGTGACCTTGGTTAAACTGCAGAGCCTCTCTGTTCCGAAGTTTTACATGACTATGGAATGGCAGGAATAGATCATCTCATGGAGGAGGGAGGGGAGCAATGTTCCTGCAGAAAGGAAAGAAAAGAAAGCCTGGGATAAGAAGGAATCAGCTTTAGAGAATGATTTTTTTTTTTAGGTTTGTTGAAAGTGTGAAAGAGTCAGGAATGGAGTGGCAAAGATTCAGAATTGTAGTTGTAATGTGAGTAATAACTTTTATTTTTAGACCAGACCTGTGATTTCATTGCCATAGGAAACTCCCAGGTTGGGAGGGTGAGAATGAAAGAGAACCTCCCCCTACCAATACCACTTGGTCACTTCCTTATAGTCTCAGAGGGCATTCAAGAGAGACCAGGGTGGGTGGCCCAGTCAGTGTGTACCAGAGGCACACTAGAACCCAGGTCTTCCTAACTCTGAGTACAACTCTCTACCCACTATACCATGCTGCTTATCAGTTAATAATAATAATAATAATAATAATAATAATAATAATAATATCCAATGTTTATATGGTGCTTTAAAGTTTGCAAATCACTTTGTATACATTATCTCATTTTATCCCCACAATAACCCTGTGAGGTTTGTAGATAGTGCTTGGTACATAGTAAGAGCTTACTAAATGTGTTTTATTTCATTCTTTTGCTCATTCATGATATGAAGTATGCTGTTATTATTCCCATTTCACAGATGAGGAACTGGACATTGGGTCACACAGCTGTCAGCATCCTGAGTGCCCCATGTCAAATGCCTAGTAAGTATCTGCTGGTACATTTGAAAATGACTCCGGCTACCTTTGCCCTCCTGAATATAAAATATTACTGCCCCCAATCACTGGCACTGCTTGGACTGAGCCTAAAGTTTGGATACCTTTTTCCAGAACTTACCTCATGTAGTGCTTTGCCCTTCAGAGACTATAAGAGATACATGAGAAATTAAGTGACTGGTAAAACTGACTTACAGGTGTATCTATGTAGCTTTTTGGTAAATACCACCAATGGTTTGTAAGTTGTTAATAATCCCAGTAGTTAGTCAACTGAAGTTAATTGGTTAAATAGTACTGGGACCCAAATTACTGGTGGCTAGCAGTGAGATTGGTGGGAAAGTGTACACTAATATGGGACTTAAGTTGATAGCAATAGAAAAAGACACCCTCAACTCCCTCAGCGGTACCCCTAGATCTCCAAAGTAGCTTGGTGTAGTCAAGGCGGGTGAGACTGGAGTACTTGTTACATGAACATTTCCATACAAAAGTAGGCCTTCTCCCTGCCCCTCCCCATACATGCATTGCCAAAATCGAATGCTGGGAAATGATAATGACCAAGTTTAGCCTCAAAGAAGAGGCATAAGAAGGTACCACTCCCTGCTTCTTTGCAAAAGTGAAAACCTACAGATGCAGAACCTTGCATATAATCTCAGTTTTCCCCCAATGTATTGGCTAATTATGCCAAACAGTTTTTCTCCTTTTTTCTCCTCTTTCTCCTCCTAATTTTTCTCTGGGAAGTGTAGAGAGAGGGATATATAGGGAAATGTAGGAGATGTAAAAATAAGAGATAGCAATAAAAACAAATAAAATTATTTTTCCAAAGAATCACACATCCACAAATGTTAATTTACCTTTTGATGCTCCAAATATGAGATACTTGTCCAATGACCAAGTCACGTTCTAATGCAAGATCTAAATCACATCAATACTGACCATCTCACTATAAAAGAAACCAGAAGATAGAAAAAAGTTGCTGCTGAGAGATGGCTCCCAGGTTCTCCCAGCAGAGGAAAATAAAGGAGTCAGAAGAATTATTTTCAAGGGCAATAAGAAACATCCTTTCATGAAACATTTGGCTATCTCCTCCTGATACTCTCTCCCTTCTTAGCTTGGTTGTTCTACTATTTCTCTGGACCCTCCCTGGTCCCTTCTGTGGGATCATCTATTCTCTCTTTATACTAAGTGTGGGCATCTGCCAAGACTCTCTCCTGGGCCCACTCCTCTTGTTATTCTACGTATGCACATTCTCTCTCCATCTTGGTGATCTCTCTGGTTCTCGTGGACTATTGTCTCTAGGCAGATAGTTCCCAGGTCTGTATATCCAGTCACAATCTCTTTCCTGAACTCTGGTCTCTTATTACCGACAGCCTGACAGATATCTCCACATATTGGCCCCCTTGGTATCTCAAACTCATTGTGGCTAGTTGGTTTTATTTTCCCCTCAATCTCCTCATTCCTGCTGATTGTGTTGCCAATCTTCCATTCACTCAGGGTTGCAAACTTGGACTTATCCTTGACTGCTTCCCTTTCCCTCACCCCCCATATGAAAAGACTTGGAAGATGTCAGTTCTATCCCGGCAGTATCTGTTGAATCCAACCCTTTCTCTCCACTCATGAGGTCTCTATCCTTGTCATCATCTTTCATCTGCAGTATCCTCCTAATCAGTGTTCCTGTGTCCAGCCTCTTCCCTCTCCCAAAATCTTACACACAGCTGCTAAATTAATATTCTGAAAACAGGTATTTGACCATGTCAACCCTTTGCATCACAATCACGAATGCCTCCTTTTTGTCTCTAGGGGGAAAAAATGAAAAATCCTTAGCCTGGTATTCAAAGACTTCCATGATCTGTCTCCCACCTACCCTTCCTTCTTCTATTTTATCTTTTTAAATACTACATATTTTTCCCATTTACATGTAAAAAATTTTTAACATTCCTTTGTCAAATTTTGGGTTTCAAATTCTCTCCCTTCCTCATCTCTTCCTCCCTTCTCGAGAAGGCAAGCAAATTGACATAGGTTATATGTATGTAGTCAGGCAAAACACATTTCCTTATAAGTCATTCTGTGAAAGAAAACACATACAAAAAAAAAGAAAGAAAGAAAAAAAGAAAAATAAGGAAAATAAAGAAAAAGTATCTTTGATCTGCATTCAGGCTTTACCAGTTCCTTCTTTGGAAATGGACAGCACCTTTCGTTATAAGTCCTATGGAATGTCTTAGATCATTGTATTGCTGAGAATAGCTAAGTTATTCATAATAGGTCATCATACAATACAATACAATACAATACAATACAATACAATACAATACAATACAATACAATACAATACAATACAATTGTTACTGTGTAATGTGTTCTCCTGGTTCTGCTTGCATCAATTTCTGAGAGCATCCTGCTCATCATTTCTTAAAGTACAATAGTATTCCATCACAATCATATACCACAACTTCTTCAGCCATTCCCAATTGATGGGGAATCCCTATCCCCTCAATTTCCAGTTCTTTGCCACCACTAAAGAGCTGTTTTAAATATTTGTGTACACATAAGTCCTATTCCTTTTTGTTTTTTATCTCCTTGGAATACAGACCTAGTAGTCTACCCTTCCATTCTTTTTTTTTTTACCCTTCCATTCTTAAGTCATATTACTCACTTTCATGGACTCTCTGTTCAAGTCCAACAGGCCTGCTGGGTATTCTACACACACAACATTCCATCTCTTATCTCTATTCTTTAGAAGACATGGTCCTGACATCTGGAATGCACTCCCTTCTTACCTCTGCTTCAGAGAATTTGTAACTTCCTTAAAAGTGTAACTTAGGTCCTACATGAAACCTCTCCAAACACTCCCTTGCCCCACCTTTCCAATTCAGTTTTTAGCATTCTTTTCCTCTTGAAATAACTTTGTATAAAATTTATAGTGCTTTGTGAATGTTGTGAATTATTTCCCCAAATAGAATGTAATCTCCTTGAGGGAAGAGACTGTGTTGATACATAGTAGACAGTGTGTGTGTGTGTGTGTGTGTGTAGGATTCAGTGATTCTTTTAAAAATGTTAAAATTTAAATTAAATTTATTTTTAATTAAAAATGTTTAAAATAATTTTAAGATTAAAATAAAAATAATTTGAAAATAGTGATTTGAAAATATTAAAATATTTTGTTTTTACATCATGTTGATTTCTCCCTATATCTCTTCCCCTAATAGTATAGACTCTTAATGTTTGCTGATGTGAATTCATTGGATCTTACCTTGTAGTACTCATGAGGAGTAAAAATGGAAAGACCACTCTGAAGATATTTGCAACTTACGTTCCAACATCTGTTCCAGAGGACGGGGATGGGAGGAGGGAAGGAAGTTACCTGAAGAACTTAAGAATATAATCCAAATTATATCAATGCATACTTTAACAGTTGGTGACTTTAATGTAATGGCAGGCATAAGAGAAGGCAATGAAAAATATGTGGAAGAATATGGCTCAGGATTAAGAAATGGAAAGCAGCCAAAGGCTTGTAGAATACTTAGAAACCTCAAGCCAAGAAAAAATTAGTACTTTCTTCAAGAAGAATTTCAGATGGCACTAGACATGAGGAGCACCAAATCACATCATGAGCAATTACACTGACTATCTTAACCAACAGGAAATGATTGGCTGTTGATGTGAGAGTCATTTCCAAATCAGATGTTTGTTGTTACACCTTCAGCTTATTGAAGCAAAACTCAAAATCAACACCTATTAGAAGAAAAGCTCAAGCTGAGAAGATAAAGCATGTGTTGGAAAAGTTCCAACATGACCTATTTAGATATGGTATTCACACATTCCCTGCAAATGGAAACTGGACAGAGGAACAAAAATCAACAGAGACCATTATTTCCTAAAGAAATTTAGCCAATATCAAGGTATCACCACAACAAGGAGAATGTAAGAGCCTAGAAACTGTTTCCAAGTTCTTGATCTACTTGCCAAGGGAAGAGAAATGGCTGCCAAAATCAATGGGAATCTAAAATGTAAACTCATTTGCAAAACCTTAGAGAGAAGGAAGGTGGAAGATCATGAGTAGCTCTGGCTTCTAAAATAGTGGGAAGCAGTGAAGAGAGGAAAATGTTTTATAGGAAAGGTTAGACAGATCTTTCCAAGAGCATTGGAAGATTCAAATAAAAGAAGGAAAACAAGCATAGTCACACACCCATACCCACACCCACACCCACACACACACGCACACACAAATGGAATATACCTGCTATTGGTTTCTATACTTTCTATAAGAAACTATTCAAGGACAGTGGAGCAACTACATTTGGATTCTAAACATAACAGTCCTGGTGTTGTTTGTGTTTGGATTCTATCATAACAGTTCCTGGTGATCTTTGTTTGGTTGATTTGTTTTTTATATTTTCTCCTCCTCTTTCTTCTCTTGTTCTTGTTCTTGTTCTTCTTGTTCTCCTCCTCCTTCTTCTTCTTCTCCTCCTCCTCCTCCTTCTTCTTCTCCTTCTTCTCCTTTTTCTCCTTCTCCTTCTTCTCCTTCTTCTTCTTCTCCTTCTTCTTCTTCTTCTTCTCTTCTTCTTCTTCTTCTTCTTCTTCTTCTTCTTCTTTTCTTCTTCTTCTTCTTCTTCTCTGAAGGAAGCCATGTTGGTTGAGACCAATGAGAAGGAAACAAGCATGTTTTTAGGATTGAGTAAAGGTAAAATCCTTCACAAGAGCACACTGAGACATTCAACTAGACCCTTGACTTACTGTCTCTAGAAACTACTTGGAAGGCATGGCCTAATGGGACATGAGAAGAAGTAGAAATGATATTAAGGAAAATAAAGATGGCAATGACAAAATGAAAGAGTGAATGAATAAAATATTTCTTAAGTACTTCCTTCGTACAAAGCACTGTACAAATACTGAAGATACAAATAGAAAAGTGTGACAATCTGTGCTCTCAAGGAGCTAAAAGGCTAATGGGGACAGAACACATAGGGAAGAATTCAGTTGGGAAGGACTTGAGTTCAAATTCTGCCTCTGAAACATAGTAGCTCTCTGACCCTGGACAAGTCATGTCACTTCTCTCAGACTGTTTCCTCATTTGTAAACAGATAATAGCCCCTATCCAGTAGGGTTCTTGTAAGAATCAGATGTGATGACACATGTAAAATGCTTCAAAAACCTTAATATAAATGGTAGCCAGCTAGTTTGTCTCAAACTGAACAACACCAAATATAGACAGAGGCAGTCTATTTAGGAAGAGGCAAAATTTGAAGGGCGTTGAGGAATGAATTGTAGAGATGTCACAAAGAGGAGAAGATACTGAATAATTGAGGGTAGGGGGAATCATGGATGGCAATACTCCATTTTGGGGAGGCATCCAGGCCAGTGAGCACAGAGAGTCCTCATGTTCGATGCTTTCATATCCTCCCTCAACTCGCTTTGCTGCTACTTTCTGTGTATTGTCTTTCCTCGTTAATGCATATGCTCCTTAGGGGCGAGACTCTTTCTTTTTTCCTTGTATTTGTATTTCCAGAACTTAGAACAGTATGTGGCCCACAGCAGGTACTCAAATGCTTCCTTCCTTCCTTCCTTCCTTCCTTCCTTCCTTCCTTCCTTCCTTCCTTCCTTCCTTCCTTCCTTCCTTCCTTCCTTTCTTCCTTCCTTCCTTCCTTTCTTCCTTCCTCCCTTCCTTCCTTCCTTCCTTCCTCCCTTCCTTCCTTCTTTCTTTCCTTCTTTCCTTCCTTCTTCACTTTCATCCTTCTTTCTATCCTTTCCTCCTGCCCTCCCTCATTTGCATACTTCTTTCCTTTCTCTCTCCCCCTTCCATCCTTCTTTCCCTCCTTCCTTTACTCCCTTTCTTCTTTCCTTCCTTTTTTCCTTTTTCCCTTTCTTCCTTCTCCCCTCCCTCCCTCCCTTCCTTCCTTTCTCTCCTTCCTCATTCCTTCCTTCCTTCCCTCCTCCCTTCTTTTTTCCTTCCTTCCATCCTTTCTCTCCCTCCCTCCTTCCTTTTCCGTCCCATATAACACTTTTCCTGAACCTCTCCTTTGTACTTTCCTTATTTTTGCCTTATATCACAATCATCTTTTGTGCATTCTCCCTTTCTTCCCTCATTGGATTATAAAATGCTTGAGGATGAGGATTGCTTGCTTCTTCTCTTTGTATCCCCAGTACCTCACAGAGAATCTGGAACACAGCATGCTTTTCATAAATCCTTGTTGAGTGAAAGGACAATCTAACAATCTCCTCTCTGGGCCTCAATTTCCTTCACTATAAAAAGAGGGGCTTAGACTAGATTGTCTCTTGTTCCCTCCAGTTCAAATGCTGGGCAAACATGAGTCCCAGTGATCACAGGATCATAGGATTTGAGCTGGAAGCAACCTCAGGCCCATCTAGTCCAACAATCTCATTTTAAAGATGAGAAAATTGAAGACCCAAAAGGGGAAGAGACTTGCTCAGGGTCATACAGCCAGTAAGTACAGGACCAGGGCTCTAGGCCTTTCCTTCAAAATATGGAAATTAACTCAGTCTTCCCTTAGAATTATTCTGCCTTTATTCAGCCAAGCAGATGTCATTCCTGCGGGAGGCCCAAAGAGCTGGCTCACCTGAGGACAGTGCAGTGGTCCTGGAGGGGGAAGACGGTGTTTTCCTTGGAGGCCATGGTAAGAGTCGATGGTGATTCACCCGCCCACCACAAACTCAGGATGGTTGTTTGTCTGGGCACAAGAAGGAAAACTGCAGGAAGGGCAGGCCAGGCTGGGGCTCTTGGCCACAGCTGGCTTGTTCAGGATTGAGCTGGAGTCATTTCAACTGTGGTTTGAATATTCGGTCCACTCCTTCGCTATTTCACACACATTCTTTTGATAGACGTAGGACTGGGTTATAAAATTGAGGAGAGTAGGGAGGGCTGGAAGTATGTGAACAGAGTGATCTCTAAGGACCTTTCCATCTTAACTGTCTAGGTTATTAGAATGTTCCTTTAGCTCTGACACTATTTGAAGATCTCTTTTGGCTCTGACATTCTCTGTTCTAAGTAGCCCCTCTTACCTCTGATATTTCCTGTCCTGAGGCCCCTCAAACTCTGACATACTCCATTCTAGAGCCCCTCCCAGCTCTGACATTCTCTGTTCTAGATCCCCTCCCAGCTCTGACATCCCCTGTTCTAAGGCCCCTGCCAGCTCTTATATCTCCTGTTCTAGAGTTCCTCCCAGCTCTTACATCCCCTGTTGTAAGACCCCTCCCAGAACCCAGCCTCTGGGCCCTAAGGCCCTCCCCAGGTCTTAAATTGTCTGTGCTAAGCTCTCTCCTTATCACTGAAATTCTATTTGTGCTCCTTCTTAGTTAATGTGTTCTGTGATCCAAAGACATTTTATCTTTTCCATTTTCTCCTGTCTCTAACATCTTCTCCTTCCTCGAGCCTGCCCACCCTGATGTCAGGGATTCCCTTTCTGGTTACTGGTCACCACTCGACATATACAGACTGTAGTGAGACTGGTCTTTCATCGGCTGGACTTCCCACAGTTACTTATCCCCAAGTTCTCAGAGGAGCAAGTTTTTAGTGATGAGCTAGAGGAATTATAGGAAGGAGTGGGAGATGGTCACTAACATCTGTGAGAATCAGAAATAATAATAATAATAATGATAATAACAACAGCTAACATTTCTATGGCATCTACTATGTGTTGGTCACTATGCTAAGCACTTTGAAATCATTAACTCATTTTATCTTTACAGCAACCCTGGGAGGTGAGTGCTATTGTTATCTTCATTTAACAGATAAGGAAATTGAAGCAAATAAAAGTTAAGTGACTTGTCCAAGGTCATGCAATTAGTAAGTGTCTGAGGTCACATTTGAACTCAAGTCTTCTGGACTCCCAGCCTCACACTCTATCCACTCACTGTGCCGTAGAAAACCAAGGTGAAATGACTTTCCCAGGGTCATTCAGCAGATCTAGGCCTAGAAACCTGACCTCAGGCCCTGCACCAAGCCATTTTGACATTGCTTCCCCAGAGATGTGAATCAATCAGTATTCATTTATAAAGTGTTTGTTAAGTGCTACATGCTGGGTATACACAGAAAGAAACACTTGTCCTGAAGGATTTACATTCTCCTGGGGATTGAAACTCTCCTGGGATTTAAAAATGGAAGGGATACTTAGCCTAGAACTGTTTACAGAGAGGAAAACTCAGGCCCGGAGAAAGTAGACTGGGAGCTCCCTGAGAATAGGAATCACTTTAGTCTTTGTATCATCAGCATCCTTCAGTTTCTTCAGAGGCTGACTTTTCTCTTTCCCTTAACTTTGCTTCACTTAGACCCCCAGAAAGTTAGTGGTTCAGGATCCACATAGCCCACCCTAGGCCCATCCAATCATGCCCACTCTAGGGCAAGGAGTCACCCAGCTTGTCCTTGAAGGCCCCCAGTGGTGGTGGAAGGGGAATAAGGAGGGGTCCCCTCCAAGGCAGCCCAGTCCACTTTGGTGTACCTCTTGCTTTGATAGAAAGATTTGATTTACATCAGTCCTCAGCTTTCCTCTTTGCTATTCCCCCTCCCCACCCTCCACCAGTCCTAGTTTTATCCTTGGGGGCCAAGAAGAACACAGCTAATCCCTCTTCCATTGGACAGCCACTGAAATACTTGAAGACACCTCTCATGTCCCCCAGGTATTTCTTCTCTAGGCTAACCATCCCCAGTTCCTTCAACCAATGCTTAAATGGCAAAATCTCAAGGCCCTTTCCCACCCTGGTCACTCTTCTCTGGGTTTTCTCCCTTTTATCAACGTCCTTCCTAAAATGAGTCTCTTAGCACTGAACTCGATGCTCCAGACTTGGAGGTTTTTTAGTTCTATTTGTTATCCCTCCCTCCCCATCTCTCTCCATTTCCCCAAATCCAAGGTCAAGCAATACAGCCTTCCCCTTTCCCATCAGGGCTTTATCCTTTCAAAGAGAACTGGGCCTGTCCATCACATGTTTCCCTAACATCTTTGATGGGAAAGTGTCCTGGTGCTGTCTGTGCTCTCAGCCTCCTTTTGTCTTGGGGAAGCTCCCACAAGCAAAGGTGGTTAATTGGGAAGCCTGTCCCCAGCCCACTCCTGCCCCTCCCAGGTGCTTCAGTGAAGGCTGAGTCAGCTTGGCAAGGCCAGGATGTGGGCTAATTAGAAGCTCTGAGTAATGAAAAGGGCTCTGATTGACAGGCCCACGCCTTCCCAGAGCAGGGATGCTGCTTCTCACTCAGGTTAGCTTGAAGGCCCAGAGATCACAGAAACACTGGAGTTTTCAACAGGAGGAGGGAGGAACATGACTCCAAAGGGAAGAAAGAGGAACAACGGGAAATGTCGCAGAGAGAAGGTTTGCTTTTGGATGTCAGGGGAGACCTCATCTGAATTACAGCCTCCTTCCTGACTCCAGGCCCAGCACTCTATTCACTTGTTGTCGTGTCCGACTCTTTGTGAACCCATCTGGGGTTTTCTT